CACTCGTTAGAAAACTCGATTATAAATATTGTTAGGAGAGAGAAAGACGATCTTTTTGAGATTTTATTTAGAAATAAAGAATATCCACATAATGTGAAAATTGATTTTATTCTCAAATTGAGTATGTTTAGTTACTTTCAAGGTATTTCTTAGTCTTAAGAAGAGAAATAATATTTAAGAAGTAGAGATAGTACATAGGCATCATTTAGACATTTTATGGAAGGGATAGAAGTAACTTTTCCATAAAAATGATCATTTTTTTTTTACTTGGGGGCTGTTTGGTTCGTTTTTTAACTGGGTGGAAAAGTTTTACACCGCCTCCACATCAGATTTTTCGTGGCCACATAGGATATAAGCTTTCTGTCGGTTTTTTCCCATCTTTGGTTCGCTAGGGTTGAAGAAGGGAAACTCGGTGAAAATCGTCGTCACATCAGATTTTTTTCTCTCCCCCAATTCCTTCCTCAACCTCGTGAAATCGACGAAAACTGCAGCCATGTCAGCTTTTTGTCATATAAACAAAAGTTTTCCCTTTTTTTCCATGCGAACCAAACACAAAAAAATAAATACATTGGTTTCCCACCATTTTTATGTGCGAATCAAAGCGAAACAATCTATTTCTTAGAAAAGTTTGAAAAACTCAAAACTTGTGTTTTTTTACATGAAAATGCATTTCCCTATATCTAGGAAACGAACCAAACAACCCCTTAATAGACTTATAATAAGTTGCTTAAATAAGCTAGTGACTATATAATAATTATATATCAAAACTTGCTTCTAAAGCGGTTAAGATGTTTGGTAAAACTATATAAAAGATCAATATTAAAAGATAAATATCATATATGATATGTAAAATAAAAAAGCAAAAGTTGCTTCTAAAAACAACTTGAGATTATTTTTAAAGACATCCTATTAAAAATAGAAGCAACTTCAATGAGTACGAAAAAAAATTCACCAAACATCATACTTCAAAAAGATAATAACAAAAGAAAAAAACACAGAACCAATAAAAAAACAATTCCACACTAGCACTTAGTCTGTACTTCCTTTAACTCAATGAAAAGATTTTTGGGTTAGTTAACAAAAATGCTAAATTGCAAAAAACCTATTATATATATACCTATATATAAATGAGTATGTTTGGTATCAAGCACAAATTTGTTACTTGGTATTTAGGTGTCACATTCTCATCCACTCATTGTCATTCCTAACAACTCCTCAACCCACGTGAGTATGTGTCATAACTTCAATGAGTGGAGGGCAATGTGACATCTCACTACCAAACCCATGTGAGTATGTGTCCCAATTTCAATGAGTGGAGGGCAATGTGACATCTCACTACCAAACATTATTTTTTGTGTTTGGTACCAAACATACACATTTTCTTTTATATATATATATATATAATAATATATATATATAGATATTAGAGAGAGAGAAGAGAGAGAGATAAGAAGATATGATATTAATATATATATATATATATATAGTAAAGAGTACAGTAGAGAGTTATGAGAGATAAGGTAAAATGATATGGCTTTGTACCAAGCAACGAAATTTTGTGCTTGGTTAGTGATTGTGCATGCAATCCCCTCCACTCATTCAAAAAGGGAACATATTCACGATGGGTTGAGGAGTGTATGAGGATATGGCAACCATTTGAAATGAGGGGGAGTTGTATTATTGGCCACCTATTGACCAATGGCATAATTTTTTGTGCCTTAATACCCTAATTTCAAATGGTTGCATATCCCTCATGGTATTCCTCAACCTATGTGGAATGTGGTCCCCCATATTGAATAGTAGAGAGAACATCACTACCAACACTAAAATTTGTAAATTTGATACCAAGCATACCACACACACAGCCGACACAAACACACGACACACACACATATATATTATATATATATATATATATATATTATACTATATATATATATATATATATATATACTATATATATATATATAAATATCATAGTAATATGGATATACTTGTAACGAGCCAAAAAAATTAATGCTTGGTAAGTGAGGTGACATACAATCCCCTTCTCTCATTCAATGGTTTGCATATCCTCATGTACTCATCACCCATATGAATGTGGTCCCCATTTTGAATAGAGGGTGGAGTGATTGTGTCACCTCACTTACCAAGCACAAAAATTTGTGCTTGACCAACCAAGCCGTAATACCCAAATAACCAAATCTAAATCTAATTTTAAGTAAATCAAGATTCCAATAAAGCGCTTTTTTAAGGACGGATGGTAGGTACAGAGTCCCGTTGCTGGCAACTAACCGCAAGTAGAACCGACTATGCCTCCTCAGTCCTCTCCAGTCGCCCGCCATCTCTCGCCGTGGCCCTCATGCCGCACGGTGACGCTCACCCCGCCCGCCCCAACTCCCGAATGGCGAAGCTCGTCCTAATACTCTCGCGCTACAGGCTCCCAGCCGGACACCCGCTTTTTCGGGCAAAACCTGGTAAGCTCATCGGGCAACTTCTTGCTTCTCCCTCTTCGTCGGCTCTCACGTCCTCGTCTCACCGTCGCCGTCGCCGTCACCTACCAGCCCCCGCGACCCCTGGGCTCTCCTCGCCCCAAATCCCTCACCAAAACCCTATACCCTAACGCCTCCGCAACTGCCACCTCGCAAACCGACGACTTGCGTCATCAACACCGGCGAGACGCTCTCGGCCCTCGGCACCCCTCAGATGCCGCCATCGTCCGCGCCCGTTCCTGCGCGCCCCCGATTGTCCGACGCCGGGAGCCCTGCAACGCTCACTGCATCCCCGCGCCCTCCAACTGCTCCGATCCGGCCGTCCTCGCGCGATACCAGCGGTTTCTAACGCAGCGGAACCTTCAGAGCGATCGATCGTCTCTGAGCTACGATGTCCCCTGGCTGCGATCTGGGCCGCCGAACGAGTAGTGACGCTGCGTGGCGGCTTTCGGAACTCGGAGCCGGAGAAGTCTTGCGAGGAGGTACAGGACTACAGGCCGGTTCAGATTCGCGACCGGGGACGACTGGCGGGTCGAGAATCGTGTCGGTGGCGGAAGTCAGCATCTGTGGCTGCAAACGCGGCGCGGAAGAGGACGCGCAGGTCGCCGGCCTTGCGGGCCCCGCGGCGCAGCATTGCGGATGCGGAGATCAATGACACGATCCCGGTGGTCGGGTCGGAGTCGGATTTCAAGAGGGGGAAGTACTTGTACTACACCAGGGGTGGGGATTACTGCAAGGGGATGAATCAGTATCTTTGGAGCTTTTTGTGCGGGCTTGGGGAGGCTAAGTTCTTGAACAGGACGTTTGTTATGGATCTGAGTGTTTGCTTGAATGGAGGGTATAATTCGAATGGGAAGGATGAGGAGGGGAAGGATTTTAGGTATTATTTCGATTTCGAGCATTTGAAGGAGTCGGCTTCGGTGGTGGAGGAAGGGGAGTTCTTGCGTGATTGAGCACCAAGAAGGGTAATGGTGGCCGGATTAGTGTCCGGAAGGTTCCGACCTATAAAGTTACCCCGATGCAATTGAGGAAGGATCGGAGCACGATTTTGTGGAGGCAGTTTGATGGGCCGGAGCCTGAGAATTATTGGTATCGGGTTTGTGAAGGGAGGGCGGCTAAGTACATTGAGAGGCCATGGCAGTCTGTTTGGAAGTCGAAGAGGTTGATGAACATTGTGACTGAGATTGCGGGGAAGATGGATTGGGATTATGATGCTGTGCACGTTGTTCGAGGTTGGAAGGCAGAGAACAAAGAGTTATGGCCGAATCTGGATGCTGATACGTCCCCTGATCAGCTCGCGCAGAAACTTCTCACAATGGTTAAACCGTGGAGGAATCTTTACGTTGCGACGAATGAGAGGTTTTATAATTATTTTGATAAGTTGAGGTCACATTATAAGGTGCATTTGCTTGATGATTACAAGGAGATGTGGGGGAATAAGAGTGAATGGTATAATGAGACAATGACTCTCAACGGAGGGAAGCCAGTGGAGTTTGATGGGTATATGAGGGTGGCGGTGGACACTGAGGTGCTTTATAGGGCGAAGACGAGGGTGGAGACGTTCAATAACTTGACACGAGATTGTAAGGATGGTATCAAATGGTGCACGTAAGATTGATTGTGGATTCCATGAGGTAACTTGATCAGAATACCAAGAGTGCGGTCTATTGTATTTTGTTTGATTTTTTCATTTCATAATTTATGTTTGATCTTTGTTACCTTGATTCTTCTTCAATATGTTGTATGATGTATCCTGGATTACATGCAAATAGATTTTGTGCTGTATTCTAAAAAGTTGAAATTTTGTTCTGGTCTACTGACTATTCAAAACTTTTCATTCCTTATTCAAAACTTTTCATTCCTTATTCAAAACTTATACCAGAAACATAAGGTAAAAAACTTTACTCTGATAGCAGGTCTTGCAATCACTTTAAACTAGATAATTTGTTTATTGCCTGATTTTGTTGTTATTGGTAGTTTGGTACTTAAACAGTAAATTGCCCGATTACTATCTACAATAAGTAAAATGAACATGATAATAATATGTGAAACATGAAATTTTTTTCCTCAAATAATATGCAAGCAATAGAAATATGCTCAGTTATCCATTCTGGAGGAATAATATAATGCTTTAGCGGAAATGTAGGAGGATATTCATGCATATGCATGCTAATCTGCAGCATTCTTTATTGGCTTTTTCGGGAACTCGTCAATGATTATTCAACCCCCACCTTTCCCTTCATTTTCTTGCTTAAAAATAGCTAGGATATCTAACCACATCCTTAATAAATATCTCTTACATGTAACTTCATTTTCCAGTTATTCAGAAAAATCATTAGAACATGCATTTTTGACAGTTAACCTGATGAAGAACGTCTTCTTAAGTTCCATATAATAGTGAGACTTGGAATCTTAGTCATTTAGTAAAACATGACTGGTGTAAGTCTAAGAATAGGATGATATAGGTTTGGTACAAGGATTATGTATGTTTTTCTGTCCAATTCGTGATCTTCCTCTGCGTAATAAGTTCCTTCCTCCTCTTTGGGATCTTAGTATTTAGGTGGCACTTGCAGGAAGTAGCTACTGTTTCCTTGGTGAGGCTCAATCCAATTCTTTGGTTAAGGTCAAGATCTATACCAGCTAGCAAACACTTTTATACAAGCAGATTTGGGGAAAACAACAGGAGAGAATGAACACTGGGGAAAGTTCCCTTGAGAAGATGGATCTACAAGTTTAGTCAACTCAAACAAGATTACCTAGATTAGCAAGTGCTATTTTTTATGCTTCTCAGTTAAGATGGGAATATTTAGAACCAGACATGCTGTAGATGTGCCAATTGACTCCCTTAACACAGATCTTTAGTCATTATACAGGCTTCTTCCATCAGAGTAGCCTTTTGCCCTTTACAGATTACAAACTCGGAAAAATAGCTCCGTAACATCGGGAGAAGGGGTGCCTCCTCACGAAGGGGGTCGCAGTGACCAGGCCCGGCGACTGTTTACCAAAAACACAGGTCTTCGTACAGTCGTAAGACCATGTATGGCGGCTATCCTCTATTGTTGAATAGAGCACCTACCCTGCACAGATTGGGCATACAGGCATTCCAACCCATTTTAGTGGAAGGCCGCGCTATTTGTTTACACCCATTAGTTTGTAAGGGCTTTAATGCAGAAATGAGGGAGGAGTTCGTTCCTTGCAGGCATTAGCTGCAAACCATCAAAGTATTATAAGGATGAACCCAAACATCGAAACTTGTGGAAGGATATTCTCACCTAAGCTGTTTGGGCAACTGAGATGTAACACCAAGAATTGGTGGCTCTATCAATCAAGTTTGCCTACCTCGATGGTATTTCTACGACGAATCCAAGAACTAGTTACCAGAGAGAACGAACAATGTCTTTTATTTTTCATCCCTTCTGGTAGAACTATCATCACACTATAATAAACCCAAATTCTACTCCGATATAAGTGGTATTTATTGTGTTGGAGAACAAAACCTTAGTAGTGCTGTCTACTGTCTATTGATATCCCATCCTAATCGATGATCCCGGCCCATTAAAGATCCAAGTTCTGTAAGGCTCTCGGCAGTCCAACCGTTAGCATCCAGAGATAAAGTCCACTAGTATGAACCAAACTGAGTGCTCAACCGGGTGCAAATAACAACCAAAGAACTGTATTCACTCTCAAACCCAGTTGCTAGGCTCACAGATTCTTTGCTGTTCTAATGGAGGACATCCGCGACTATTGCAAAGCAATCTTGGTCAAAATGCTGACGGGACTCTATTCAGCTCCACCAAATTACCTCAGCACATTAATCAAGTTCGGAATAAAGGATTGGTGTAGCCAAATGTAGTACTTGTGATGAAGATATTTTTGTGTGTTGTGCCTTAGAATTTCCAAGGGATACTATTTTCATTTTTATCTCGAGCTTCAGTTTCAACTCTGTTTCTATAGAAGTCCTTTGCGCAGCCATCTGAATGCGCATTGAAACTTGTAATCGTTTCAGACCTGTGCATTAGCTGTCCAAATATTCTTCTAGGCTATTTCTGTTCCCATTTTCACCAGGTTACTCCTCTATACGTTGCAGCTTTCCCCTGGATTTTTCTGTTATTTGTTTCAGTAATTGCATGTCTTTCACTCGCTGAGAGGGATTGGCTGTCTAACTAGTTAATGCAAAATCATGGTTTGGATCTGGGACTATTTCTATTTTTTTGTTGTGATATCTGAAGCAGCTGAAGGATTGACTTCATTTCTTTGTTACTCCATCAACATTTTTTTCTTGAGTTTTTGTTTTATATGTACCTTGCTAAATCAGCACGGCAGTTACTTCACTTGTGGGAATCTGGAGGTTTTCAATCTTTTGCGACAATCTGGCCTTTGGAGAATTCAGTTCATTGAAACTCTGTTTTAGTAAAAGAGAAGTGCAGGGGACATCAATAAGAATTGCATACCGTCACGTCGTCAAATTATGCCTTGTTTTTTTTTTCCTTCTTTTTGCTGATAATATGACTACTATACGATCTGGAGTCAATAATATCTGTATGATAGGGCATCTTGTATTAGTAAAAATTGGCGATGAAGCTGAGATACATGCATACTACTTAAACCAGTGCTCGTCTCCTTTCTCTTTCAATGATTTTGATTTCTGTTACACATTTAATTCTACATTTGAGTTTTTGCTTTTTAAATTGGCAAGCAGTACACTATTGAACTTTATCTGCATAATGCTGAGGTATTTCGAACAATACCACTTTGAGTTTTAGGCTGCTTCATTATGACATGAAGGGTGAGATGTATATCAGCTTCGAGTTCTCAATACATCGCTTGTGCCTTTGTCTTTAATCTATTAACAGGATTGGGAACTTGTTGGATTGAGGTTAAGGTTTTGCTTGACCTAGACCTGAACCCTGCATTGTTTCAAGTCTACATCTTAGACTCAAATTCGAACATTTATTAAGCAGTTCGATTTTCATACAAAAGCTAGGTTTTCCAACTAGCTCTTCTCATGTCCGACTATTTTTTTTTTCTTCAGGTTTTATCTAGAACAATTCGAACTTACTGCTTACTAGATCCAGATATCTATTCAGGTTTTTTTTTTTGTGTGGGGGTTGGGGTGGGGGGTGGGGTGGGGGTGTGTGGGGGGGCGCCTGGCCACTGCGCAGCGGTCGGGACTGGGACCGCGCGATACAACTAGTTTCCTGACCCATTTTCCGTTAAAATTTGTTTTGTTTTAGTCCACCGCGGGGGTTGTTTCGAGAGGAAGTTGCCAAATTGACCCTTGGACTTTTAATTGGAACAAATCTGGGCAACTTCTGTCAGTTTCTTCATAACCATCTTGGATTTCTCTCGACAGCCCTTTGCAATTTCAACAAAGTTTTATATTCCAGACTACAAATACGCACGATAGCCAGGTTTAATATTTCACAGTTAGTTGATCAGTCAGCTTAGGACAGTATAAAAAACTAAAAATTTGATTGAATAATTTGGAGAAACATTTAAATAAACAGTTACATATTCATGTACAAAACGGGTATTTATGGCATCATATTGAAGAATCACACAATCAAGGAAACCCTTTTTTCCCCGCATATACGAGTGTAAATTGGTGCGTTAATCGAAGTTGTGGTATAAGATGTAGAGCCTCATTCTCATGGCAAGCAATTGCTTCAAGAGCCAATGCGTCCGTAAATTTCTCATTGCTTTTGTATTTGATGCTGACTGAATACTATTAAATTCACGAGTGCAATATCTCCTCCTGGGACTGAACATTGGATGTATCAAGAACAGAGGAATATTCTCAGAAAATTTTCTTTCTCTGTGCTTGTATAAGCCAGCGTCACCTTGAAATCATCAGGAACCCAAATTCAGAGGATACTAGGCTCATGATTTATAGAATGCACAGCTAGTTGCTGGTATCTAGTGTGGTCAATTCCATTCAGTCGTACACAACATAAGATCTGCTCAGGCAATTCTTCAGGTTTGTTTCCCTGTTCAAAGATTACGATATAAAATTGCCTCTATTGCCCTCTATCAAAAATTTGAGAGAATTGTGTCTCTATATAATACAAGGTGGAAGATTAAAGCCTTACTTGGATTGTTAGGCCAACATCCAGAATACAGAGCTTCAGCCTATCTAGGAATGTTTCAAATCCTTTCCTAGAGATGTAACTGAATCTGTGCATATCCAAATCGATCTCGAAATAGTTTTCCCCCTGTTAAAAGTGCAACAAATAGGTAAGGATAAGAGGGTGTATTTGTATTTGGTAGTGCTGCAATGTTTTATTCTTTTCTTTTCTCCGTTAATATAAACTTATTTTTGTGTTTGTCCCTTATGCCTTGTTTGCAAGACTTTTTCTTGATGTAACCCTGTCCAAGTCAGATTGGTGCTCCAGAAGGCCCCAATACTTTCTAGTTTCTACACAAAATAAAAGAAATCAAAGTGGGTGGTAAACTTCACTCGCTAGATGGATTTCTCATATTATATTTTTACCTTAAACTTGATCATGTGTAGAATACTAGAGGCATGCATTCAGCCGTACTAGATATAACAGTTCCGATGCCAGTAACATGTAAAAGATGGAAGTGAGAAAACATATACTCTTATAATATGGTAAATTGGTAATAACAACTTTCGATATCTTTTAGTGCATATACATTGATCTCAAAGTAATTCTAAAAGCAAAAACAATAGTTAATGATTGAGAATAATATAGAACCTTTGGATTATGGTTGGCAACAACTAGTTTTCAAGTTTGACAGTCCAGAGACAGAAGATTGCAGCACTTTGAACACAGTTGCTAAACTTTCAAACCATGCTACTTTCACATATTTTTGTAACAAGAGATCAGCATAATAACTTGCATTATTTACTTGCACTATGTTGCTTTTTCAAATATAGAATACATTTTTAAAGTGAAATCCTTCATAAAATGAAGAGTAAATTTATGAAGATGCATTTTACTTCTAGAAAGGCACTTAGGAAATACTAAAATAAAAGGACCAGTAGACCTTACTTACCAAGTAAAATTCATGTTGAGGACGAGAAAGCACAGGCTTTTCATTATATGCATGCATGAGTTTCCTCTCTGCTGCACTTAATGGAAGATCCTCCAAATTTGCTATACGGCCAAGAATTTTTAATCTTTCTCGGAATGGTGCAATTGTATCCATAGGGAATCCTTTAACTCTTTCAACTTCATCATCAATTAATTTCTGTTTTCAATACAGATAATCATGGATTAATGACATATATTAATTAGCAAGAGACCCATAAAAGCATACCTATGCCAACAAACAAAATTAGCAGTTTCAAGATAATTTGGGAATGACAAAATAGGACACAATTTGTAACTGAAGAGTTTATAAAAAATGAGAATGGTGACATAAAGATTACTTATTCCAGCAATATAATAAAATGTTATTAACATGAAATCTAACATTCTAAGCCAAAAACCTATAAGAACAAACTATCCAGGAGTTCTGGAGAAGAAGGAAGATTAGCATATGAATAAACAATTGCTAACCATTTTACTCAATACATATTGATATGATTACTATTTTACTAAGCAAGCAACAGGATCTAATTAAATTGTCATCACAACTGTTAGTCTGCTTACTCTAATATTTTCCTGGAAGTTTGCTGGGAGCTCCTTCGAATAACTTTCAGATAGTCTAAAATACAAAACAATGCTCATGCCTTCACCATCAGTTTCATTCTGAAATATAGTAGCATGATAAAATGGAACCTGCAAAAGAGAACAATAAGTTACTACAGTTAAAGACCATCAGAACAGGAATTGAAATGTAAAATAGCATGTAGTTGAGTATTCCTAAACCACAAATCAACAGATTACAAGAGAAAACAATAACATATTTTTACTTTCCAACATTATTATGTCTATTCTATTATTATAATTGACTATTAACACCTGGATCTGGGCCAAGAAGACATGACTAATATATATAATGTCCGCTTGCGTTCATGTGTGTGGTGTGTGTAGATCCATATCCTTTAATCAAGTATAATTAAATTTAAAAAGAAACAAATATACAATCCAATACTTGATCTAATACAAGCCTATGATGCCCCTCACACGTTTGCAAAGTGTTTCGGTTTTATAATGATGTCAAGGTTTCTTTGTGTATGCTTTGTGTATGCTCAAGGGACATAATTCCAAAGTGTCCTACGCAAAACATTTAGATTTTCTTTCAGTGGAAACAGCTAAAACACAAGGCTTTTTTTAAACGTGACATGGCTTTGGGACAAGTGACCAGCAAGTTGTTGGTATCAGTGTTTTCTAGGTTAAGAAAAGCCACACTTTTGAAATGCTGAACTGATTAGTATAGTTGAGTTTAACTTTAATTGCCAAATGTTTACCCCTCCACTTTTCTAATCTAAAATTTTCCCTCCTTCAACTTCCATTCATCTCCTACTGTTCTACATGCTTTTCATAACTTTTCACTTCTTCTCCTATAAGTCTTCTTCAAACTAGTACAGAATACAGTATACTCAATGTGCTGGTTTTGTACATCTCACTTAGGTGAAACCAGTGCCCCTGGAGTAGCTGCTCATGATTCTATCTACTAGACAATTATATTCTACAATATCACTCACTATGTGAAACCATATGACCTTTATAAACACGATAATCTGCAGAAAGAAATAAAAACATGGTGGAAGTTCTGAGCTAATTGAATGAGGAGATTCTAGAACCTAGATCTGTAAAACTTCTTCCAAACAGCTTAGGTATATTTGTAACAGTTGTAACTGTACATATTGCAATATAATTTTCTTTTACAGACTTGATGAAAATCCGTTTTATTCTGTTTATTCAAAACTATATTTGGTTTGTATGTAGAAGATGCCGTCAACAGACACAAGTAGGAAGAAAGGAGATCAGATTTGGTGTAAGGTCTTGTTGCCGCTGTTGTTTTTCTGCTTATTGGCGTTATGCACATTTTGATTATAGTAATATAATTCACAAACGACAACAGTTATATTATAAAGTTCATATACCTGAATATTTACTACAAGAATAGATGGAAACTTGCTAGATGAGTCTGCACTAGGAAGGGCCAAGAAACGACTTATGTGATCAACTTTTCGTGGACACAAGTAAACATCGACGCCAAATGGATAGTATGCTGCATAATTTGGAGCAAATTCTTTCTTCTTATCCCTGCCACAAAGTCCATATTAAATGATCAGACCTTACGGTCTATTTTATGTTCTGTGAGCTGGAAAAATAAAATAACAAGCTAGATATCACACATATGGCATAGATGAATGTTCCTTTGGGAAAAATTAAATGATCGACTTTACCTAAGATAGTTTTCTCCCCGGACCCTAAATGTATCTGGTTCTATATGAGACCAGCAATCCATCATTTTCTTCTCCACGGGACAGAGTGGAACTTGAGAACCTGCTACCGGTCTTTCAAGAACAGCCTTCATAGAAACTAAGAGATATATAAGTCAATAGATTGTAACTCAAATGAAATTACTCAAGGGAAATGAAAAAAGGAATTTTTTTCTAATGTAATATCATTGAAACTACAAACATAAAGTGTCCCCTGCAATATTGTATATTAAGAAAATTTCGAACTTTGCTATTAGAATGAGAAACAAAAAACACTGCTCTCAAACCCGGGCTCCCATGAGAGGAGTTGACAAAAAGAAAGTGATAAAAAAGAAATTTTCTTCTGGAAGAGAATTTCTTCCTCTTGAGTAGAATATGAGACTTAGACCATCTTATTATTTAAAAGAACTGTAGTCTTGCTGCAGTTATGAACAATTAAAATCCTTCCCACTTCCAAGTGAACTGCATAAAGATCTGCATCCATGCTCACCACATTATGACTGGAAAAGCTTAGTCTAAAAAATGGCAAAAGTATGTCCATAAAAGATCCTACCTGGTTTATCCTAAAACGACCTACGGAACAACTGCCACAAAAATCAACATCAACATAATTGAAGTGTTTACCCATCATTAAGGACATAACCCTAAATTACAAAGGATCAACATGATTGACATTTCATGATCAGTTAGTCAATCTGACATCAAGAATGCAAATTGAGTTGTTGCCAAAAACATTTTTGAGGAAATTACGACCATGGATAGCACCCAGTAGCAAATAGCAATTATGGCAAAGTTTACTCAAAGAAATAAAACTGTGACAACCTATAAATATGCAATGCAAAGGAGAAGGGAAGTTAAAAGACTGAATCCATGAAGTGATGCATAAAGCAGAATGTTGAAATATTATGTTGTAGGACATCCAAAGGAGATCATTGGGGAACTATATATCCTAATCAGACAGCATATACCATCAGATGAGCTGAATGAAAAAGAAAGTCGAATTAGTGAAATGACTCAAGTAAGGTACAGACTTTTACGACCATATTGTCTATTAAAGTTAAGCTTGCATATATAATTTATGTAACTAGTATACAGAACTTCACAAACCACTGAAACACAATTAATAAGGCGGAAACACTCACATAGAGGAGAAGTAGCATGCCCCTCACCAGCCCTCTTCTTGAAAGAAAGCTTCAAAGCAGCCTTTTTCTTTAAGTGCGGTGGGCTAGAACTTTGAGAACCTTTCTTTTCAATTCCTGGAGCTGCAGAAGCTAGACAAGGCAAACAGTTGTTTGGCAAAATACCGCAGTTATCTAATATCCCCCCTTCATCCCTTTCAGTCCCTTCATCAACAGAAACACCAGATAAATCATCCTGGCTACCAAAATGCTTTGTGCTACTTCCTGAGATAGCCACAACACTCTCTCCATGTTTTAGGTTCTTTTGTTTTCGGTCAACTGGATAGGAACTAATATCCTCATGGTTAATATCTCTCATAGACGACTTACTGGAAACAGAAGCACCTTCATGTCCATTCAAAGAAAACGCATCTGCAGAAATTCAGAAAGCACACTCAAAGGTTAATACTCACAAACTTACTACGAAATGCACCTTTAATTATCAAATAACATTTAGAAGGTTAGCACTCTGATCAGGTTTCTGAAAATTGCTCATTGAATTAGTTCAACTCACATACCATCTTGAACACTGTGGAAATCATCATCACAATCGGACTCCATGGCCATATTTGAGTCGAACCAGGCATCGTCAATGCTCCCTGATGAGTTGGTAACTGTCAATGAATGAAATATTTCGCAAATATGCATAAGGCTATGAAACTACAGCTCATAAGTCATAGACCACGTTAATGCTGTATAAGATATTTATTAGTATACAAATATGCAGTTAGTGGGTTTGAAGTTCATAATTTCATCAGCCACTCTTGCCGGCATAACAAGGTAAAATTAGTTAAACTTCTTTCGAGGTCTTTGAGCAACAAATTTCTTTTCCTTCATAATCTATTTTTACCCAATGTATAGGTAACATGATTCTGATCAAGAAAAATCCTATTTTGTGAAAAAGAATGTTGACAATCTGCTGTAGGGATCGGCATTCATATCTGATTAACAAAATAAACCAGAAAAAAAAAAAGAAAACTCTATTGCAATCTAAGATCAGGAACTGAGCATCAATTTACAGTAACTAACAAATCAAGAATCGAAGATAAAAAAAAAACTAAAACATAACAGATTTCACAAATCCATTGCAATCTAAGAGTATCTATTCACCAATCCACCAAATTGACGTACGATTTCACGAATGCAACTTCCAAAATCAAATCCTTCACCAGTTTCTTCAAAATCAACCAAGAAATCAAAAAACAAATAAAAAAAAGGGAAAATATCAGAAAACCAAACCTTGATTTATTTGGAAAGCAGGATTACTATAATAAGACCTTGAATCCTCCGCAAGATCCTCAGATCTCGCGATCTCATCAATCGGTTTCAGCGAAGAAACTCTCTTTCTCCTCCTCCCCCTCCGCTTTCCCGCCACCCGCCGCCGCCCACCGACGCATCGCTCCGGCATCGACATGCAAGATCCCATCTTCCTTCTCTCTTACCGTCAATTTTTGTTTCTTTTTTGTTTAATTTGATCTAAAGTATGAATCTTTTCTTTAAAGGAAGAGGTTGGATCTGAGGAAAAATTTGACAGCGGCCATAGCCGCTGAGAGCTATGGCCTGTTTTTTTCACTGAAATCGAAGGCGATGATGATGACTGTTCGTATTGCTTTCTTGATTTGGATCGCTCGGTTCGAACGCGGGATTGGTATTTCTGGTCAAAACTTTGTGTGCTCATTATATTTTTGGGGACTAATGATAATAATTGTAATAAATGCTACTGCTTTAATTTATTGTAGACATATTATCTAATTACCTTTTTTTAATAATAATAATAACAATAGTAATCAGAACAGTAATTTCAAAATTCACTTGCAAGACTGCGTACGTGTGGGGCCCACTTGTCAGCTTTGGTTGGTGTAGATTCTACCGATTTTTTTTCAATTTTGTGACATTCTTTTTACATACCAACCACAGAAAATGGAGCTTTACTCTTTTTCCATATAATTATTTATCTTTATTGATGTTTTTTCTTTCTTTTTTATTGTCCTCTTGCCTCTCATATGTATATAATAAAATCTAGGATAAATTTTGAAAACCAACTCATTTCCAAACTTATTCATTAAAAACGACTTATTTGAAACTTATCTGTCAAAAGCGATCCAGTTTCAGCCAGTTGGTTGGAACTTGGTCGTTTTTAGTGAGAAAAAAAAAAACCAAACTTCACGGGACTTGAAGTTTCGTGAAGTTTGGTATTTTTTTCGTCAAAAACGATCCAGTTTCAGCCAGTTGGCTGAAACTGGGTTGCTTTTAGCAAATAAGTTTCAAAGATATCATTTTTTACAATTATTTTTGAAAATGAGTTGCTTTTCAAAATTTATCCTAAAATCTATTATATTTTCATGTGATTATAATGTTTTCAAAAGTGTACCTTTAGTTCATTAGATCATTTATTAGCTTATGTAGGTACCAGTTATGAGTCAAGTATTTTATTATATTTATCTTGTTGAAAAGATCATATGTCTAAGTTAATTAAGAGTATTCAACCATAGAAACCGGATCCTATATATAGTGGAAAAAAGTTAAAATTAATTAAAATTCCACCTCTAATATGTTAGTCAAGTAGAACTCTAAGGGGGGGTTAGTCACCTAGAACTTTTTAAGTAGAACTGGGATAATTGGTAAAGTAGGATAATATTTTGACACTGGGATAATTTAGTGGAACAATGATGGGTAATTCTTAAAGTGGGATAATTTGGTAGGATAATTTGGTGGGATAATGATGGATAATATTATGAAGTTGCATAATTTGGTAGGATAATTTGGTGGGGGTAATGGTGGGTATAAATTACTATTGTTAATAATTGTATATTAAAAATAATATAATATTGATAAGCAAATTATAGTAATAACTATAAAATATAATGTAATAAAGCATCATTATTCATCTCAAATAATAAAATAATTTACAAATAAATAAAAATCTAAATCCCTAGAGTGACTCGACTTTCATCATCCCACATGGCTTCTATCATCCCACATAGCATCTGTCATAGAATTTCTCCAAGCTCCTACAGCTGCTCGTTGAGTCTGTAACTCGTCTTCTTTATCGGAGTCATCGTCTGCATCAGGAACATTTCGTGGAGCTTCTAGCGGAGGATCATAAATATCGAAGTTCAAATCTCATAACATCATAAAGAAAGAAAAATAAACATTTTTCAGCCATTAACCCTTTGGACCAATCTCATCATGAACGCTGAAACCAAATCAGCAAATAAATGAAATGTACACAGGAATCATCCATGGCCGCTAAACAGATGATCGACAGATGAACTATAAATATCCCAATCAATTTACTGAGCCGATTTAATAATAATAGATATCACCATTAACCATTCAACATCTAATCATCAATGTGATCGCAAAGTTGCTTTCTAACTTATAAAAAAAACATAAATAGCCCGCATATCTTTAGCACTAACCCACCAACACTATATTCTTAACCTAAATCATTGTTGTGGAGAGAAAACTTAGATCAAACAAATAATAATAAAGTAATTTAACGTCAAAAAGCTATCAATAAAGTAATACATCTTGAAAATAATAATAAAATCTAATCATCAAAAAAACAAAGTAAAGACAGAAAAATAAACGGATGATTGACTTCATGGCAGAGAAATTTTTTAGGCGGAGAAACTAACCAAGAGGGAGGGAGACGGCGTTTCACTTTTTTTTTCCCAATTGTATTCTTTCCAATGTGTGGGATAATTTAAGAGAGGAGAACTTATGGTTATATATATAAGTAGTATAATTTGTGGGATAATTATGACCAATTATCCCAATTCTAATTCTAGTAGAATTCTACTTGACTAACGCACAAAAAAAATAATACAGTTCTAGTTCTACAAAAGTTCTACTTGACTAACACTATAAAAAAATATCTCATTTCCTAGTTCTATGTGACTAACACCTTAAAAATTTATCCCACAAATTATCCCAGTTCCAGTTTTAAGTTCTAGATGACTAACCCCCCCTAACAAAACTATAATTGGGATAATGGTACAAAATTATACAAATTTTTTTATTTATCTATACAAAAATGAGAGCTCCAGTCTCTCAAATTATTCCAAGTTTTAGCTCAGAATTAGGTGGTAAAAAACTAGAACTCATATTTATTTTGTTATTTTTTATATATCTTTTTTTTTTCTTTACTTTTTTTCTATTATGGTTGTCACCATCATTATAATAATAATTGTCAATATCTTATAGTCTAACCAAAAGTTATTTAATAGTAAAGAACATTCTTGTAAGCAATGATCAATAAAAATAGTAAGTTTAAAAATACATTAATAGTATTTATATCTTCAAAATGCATAAATATATATTTCATGATTATAAAAATTTATCCCACGTTATTTTATTAAAATATCTCGCTTCACAAAATTATTCCTATTTATCCCACTAAAATATCCCACTAGCGAAAAATTATTTCATTTTAACAATTATCTCATTTTGCATGAAAATGTCCCAATTGACTAACATCCCCGTAGAGAATATTTTACTTTATCACTTTTGACGTAATTTCTTTGAATGTTTTTACTATATTCTAGCAGAGAAACGAAAAAAAAAACCCTTTAAAAGTAATGAAAAATCCAAAATCAAATACATAAGGTCTCATTAGGGATCTCAAGAAACTTCCAATTATCAACCCCAAAATACTTTTAAAATTTTTAAGCAAGAGAATGTAGAATAAACCAACCACTCCTGTCGAAAGCGATGAAAAGAGATTTCGGACAGAACCCGGAACCCATTAAAGAGCTACGTGTCCATCACAGAGCCGTAGGTGTTACTTCGCTTGTGACAAGGTGGATAAAGGTGTTGGTTAGTTGAGGATTAAAGTGGATAGGTTTTGTTGATGCGTTTTGGTGGGATTACCATGACTTTTGGGGGTAAAAGAAGAAATATCTTTGGTTGATTTTTTTTCCTTTTATTTTTTGTTTTTTTTTAAGTCCTATTTTGTGCAGTAATTATTGACTTTCAGTAGTTGCAACTTGGTGAAATTTGCTTTGAATATCTAGTTCATTTCCCACGTTGTCCTTTGACCTGATAATTTGAATGAGGTGGGACAACAACAAGTACTACGAAATTGAAGAAAACTTCCTTAAGCCAATTTCAGTGTTTATGAAGTCTTATTGTTCCTTAAGCCCGCCCATTTGAGTACTAAGGGGCTGTTTGGTTCGCTATTATAAGGGGGGAAAAACTCAGAAAACCCCTCCATGTCAGATTTTTAGTCCTCCACGTTAGTTTTTTTGTTTCCGTCCATTTCTTTGTGCCGCTTTGGTTCGCTCGGATGGAAGAAGGAAAACTCTGCTGAAATCGCCGCCAACTAAGATTTTTTTCCTCTCCGATTTTCTTCCCCAACCAAGTGAAATTGATAAAAACTCTGCCAAGTCAGATTTTTTTCCTTCTCTACTTTGTTTACAAAAGTTTTACTTTTTTTTTCTATGCGAACCAAGCACAAGAAAAATAAATACATTGGTTTCCCACCATTTTTTATGTGCGAACCAAAGCAAAACAATCTATTTCTTGGAAAAGTTTGGAAAACTCAAAACTTACGTTTCTTTACATGGAATTGCATTTCTCTATATCAAGGAAACGAACCAAACAGCCCCTTAATTTCTTTGGCTCTAGATTGTTTTACACTTTAGTTAGTCAAGTGTTGTTACAACCAAAAGTTGTTCTAGCTGTAAATTATAAAAACTCAAGCAGACAAGATTTTGCAACTTTACTCTTAATTGAGTGAAGAACAGGAAAAATCCCTCCCTCTTTTTCTTTCACTTGTCATTTCCCAGTTTTCTCTTTTCATCTCATGAGAACTTACTTCCTCCTTATTCATGACAGCAAGATAACTTTTATCCACAAGATTTGAGCTCAGCTATATGAATCATATTCTTTCATTCAGTTTTATTTTAGGTTGTTTCTTTCACGTTGCCTATATTGCCAAATTATTTTCTAGCAACGGACATTCATGCCTTATTGCAAACAAAAATTTGTGTGAAATTTGTCCGTTTTGAAGATATTTCTAGTTTAAACTGAGCATATATATTGACATTTCTAGTTTAAACTGAGCATATATATAGACGAAGTGGTCAACAAAAAGGTCATGGTCATGTAACGCTTTTGCGCCAGATTCTTTTCCAGAAACGGACATTCATGATGCAAACAAAAATTCAGTGTTAATACCTTGATGTTGCCCGAGAAAGTAAAAACACCAAACTTGAATGTGCGTCCTATTAAAAAGACCAACCTGGTGTTAGGCAAAACCCGCATCGAGGAATCAAACCAACAGCCGATCAAAGAAGACAAAATCCAACCAAAATCAATGCACAAACATTGAACACCAATTTTAACGTGGTTCGACAATTGCCTACGTCCACGGGGCAAGAAGGGGATGGGGTTTTCACTAATAAAGAAGAAGAGTACAAATTGAGATTACAAATCACTCGAATGAACAAACTAATCTCACCACAAAACTCTTAATCTCTCCAAATAAACCCTAAACAAATAGCTCAGAAAATACATCTTTTCTATGCTCCAAATATCCCAAACTCTAGCCTTAAGAAACCCTAGAACGTATATTGGTATTTATACAAACACTAAAATCCAAATCAGAACAGGAAACTCAAACTGGGCCTGACCCGATATGCGGTCGACCGCGCCCAATGACAGAGTCTGTAAATGCGTTACAGGGTCTGGCGGGCGACCGCGACGGTCGACCGCAACAAACAACAGAGCCCAAAACGGTCGACCGCGACGGTCGACCGCGACAAACGACAGAGCCCAAAAATCTCCTATAGGATCACGCGGTCGACCGCGACTGTCGACCGCACCAAGTCCAGGCTCATGCCTGAGCCTATGCACGTTCGCGATCAACCGGCCTTGCGCCGCGGTCGACCGTGCAGCGCCAAAACAGTTCCCTGTGTCCCAAAAGTCTGTTCTTCTCCAAAATTCTTTGCGGTTTCTTCACCTGGTAATTAAACCCCTCCTTATCACATCCTTCTTCATTGTTTACAACCAAGTCTTACTGTGTTCTTATTCAAAAAACCAAATGAAAATTCATCAACAGAGAAATCCGGTAAGGAACTGATGCCCGATCGCAAGCAAATGAAGCAGTGGAAAACAAATTCTCTGTCACATTTAGAATTTACACTTGATAATCATATTGTTTGGAACAATCTTGATTCTAGTTTGTTCATGATGAGTCTTGAGCAGCTTCATGACCCACTTTTTGAAAGAAAACATTGCAGACAACATTTTGTGCAAGGAGATTTGCTTCTAATTGCCAACCCAATTTTGCTGGCTGCAAACAAATCAAGTACCAGTTAGAAATGTGTATTATTGGAAGAAAAAAACTGTCTAATATCTATTTTGCCTAAAATTTGGGAATATAATATCCCCCTCAATCATAGTTGGTGGACCTAAACAAATTATTTATGCATTTGGTAAGACTATTATGAGCTCATTTGCTTCTAGTTGATCTCTATATTCAACATTGACAATGATGTAGTACCAGGAACAGTTCAGTCTTTGGTCACTCACTTTGAATAACTAACAGTTAATCTATAAAGACAGCCTTGACAAAAACAATAAAGGAATGCAAAAAAAATTCTGTCATCATTCATTTTGACAAAATGGATTTAGATGTAACTTTCATTTGAAAGTTTTTCGAAAAAAGCACCGATATAGTCATTACATTCGACTTCAAATATGAACACAATCTGCTTTCCCTGTACTATTTGCCTGTACTATTTGCTTGCATGCAATATACAACCAGTTAAAGACATGGTTAATATCAAGCAACAATCACCCACCGCCGCCATGCAGGTGACTTGGATGGTCGGAGGTTTCAATGACTCTCATGGTCTTATTAGGTTCAATTCCAAGCTGGGTTATCCCTAAAAAAGAAAAAAGAAAAAAAGAAAAAAAAAACAGGGAAAAAAAAAGCAACAGCCAGTTTGTACATAGTCTATTGTAAATATCATCTTTAAGATGTAGCATGCATCAATACTAAGACGTTAACTTTAAGACTAAATTTCACAAAAAATTACATGAATTATTGGGTGTTTTGCACAAAATACCATAAACTATTTTTATTGGAGGAAAATAACATTAAACTTTAGATTTGACAGACAAAATAATATGCACTATCATAAATTGTATGGCAATTTTATGATAATACTTGAAATGATAATTATCCGAAAATTCATGGTAGCTTTGTGAAACATAAATAAAAAGGTCATGGTTTCTCTGATGATTTGAAAGCTTACGATAATCTTCTCTACCAAAATAGTTTATGGCATTTTTGTGCAACAGACCTGTGTAGTTTTGTAAAATTACCAATAACTTTGAATGTAAGTCCTCCTTCATCTTGCATGCCAAGATTTGATAGTTCATATATAACTATATAAGCCATCATGGATTGGAAAGTACTATGAGCTGTGTAGGTACTAGGCAATCCCAAGAATCCAACCACCACCCGTGAGTAGTTGAGATGTCCCATAGCATGAAGAGAAAGATTATGTCCTAAGCAAGAAGCTAATATGGGACAGAACTACAATCATGGGGGGAACTTACTAGTCATTGCTAATATCTTTTGGAAAAAAAATTCCATTATTTTCAAAAAGAAATAAATTACCATGGTATTGCTGAATGGTAGTGAGTCCAGTGATTACTTTTAAGCTTTATAATCATGGACTTCTTGAAGAATTGAGTACCAGGAAATACAATTATAGAAAAATAGAAATAATAAACATGCAATCCTAAACACGAACATGAAATGCACAAATATAAATATGCAAGGAATCGCTTGCCCGTTGGGTGGAGTCGCGTAACTGTCCTAGAACCACACCGGTCCCCTTCACACATGCAGTACTCCGCTCTCTTGCTCCTAAAAACCTATCAAACCAAGTTAGCGATGAGTGGGGAAAGTTTTAGCATAAATCACTCTCTCATCTATTCCATTGGGACTAATGAGAATGCAATAAAAGAAAAAAACAAGGGAAACTCAATCTATCCCTTTAAAACTGAGTATGTTTCACCATTGTTATGATAGGATAACGTAACCTCATAGCTCTTCAGTAGGACAGATAATTTCACCATTGTTATGATAGGACCATTGTTATGATAGGATAACATAACCTCATAGCTCTTTAGTAGGGCAGATAACCAAAATAGAACGTGAAAGTATATAATCTTTAAGAAAATATCAGAATTATCCTGTATAGTAATAAATCTTCAAATGACGAGTCTATTCATTGTCTGCTGAATTGTGCGTTGGATATAAATATAAATAGTCTTGCCTTTCATAACATTTAACTTGATGCACTTAAGACAAACAAAGCTATCAACTGTTAAGAGCATGTTACTTACCTCATTGGAGATTCAAAGAAGATTGCAAACCATATGGAACACCATCATACTATTATTTGCTCATTGTACAAGCTACGAAGAAACTTGGCATATCTTGAACAGCACAGCTCGGCTCCTGGATGTTCAGATGGATACTTTCTCCAGAATGTGAAGTTCCCACGGTTATGTTGCCACTGAACTTCAAGCAAATATACAAATGGCAGGGAAACAAACATTACGGGTTCTTACAAACCGGAACTCCCCTTTCCACATTAGTGTTATAATTTTTTTTAAAAATTTTTTTGCCAGCCTCACCTGTTACAGCAAGAAAAAGAGAAATACTCCAGCAATTTGCAACTATATTTCAGCCATAACAGCATGCTCATCATGAGAAGTTTAAATATAAGAAAAACTACGTTCATGTCACACAAACCTGAATTTGAATAGATACTGTTAATATGCACCCCACGACATGCAGAGCAATGAAGAAGATATGACAGAACAAATTTCAAAAGACAACTTTGTTCCTAATTAGATATAAATTTTCATCAAACAAAAAAAATTGGTATTTATTAAATACTGTAAGCATTAGCATAAGGTTTCTTAATTTGAACTGGAAAGAAAAGGTTATACAACCTCTCTGCAAGGCATCGGTAAGATTTACCTGACCCTTCGGGATCCTGCAATCAACCTGACCTTTCGGGATCCTGCAATCAACAATACGTACTGCAAGAGTGCCCTTTTACTTAAGGAAAGAAAGTTCCGTGAAAGCGAAGGATCAACAAATATGATGAGAGATGACACACAAAAATGTACATCCTAGATGGACAACAAAAACATACAACCTCTTTCCTTGACTGTAAACCTCTTCAATGACATAAACCTGGACTGAAGCAGGAGAGTATTTATTTCCTTAAGTGATTTATAAGATCTAGGAATTTTATTGAGTAGGCGAGTTCCAGAATCCTACTTGATTCTTTCACAAAAATTTCCAAATAACATTTTCCATTCTGAAACAATTTTGCCAAAGCAGACAGGAACTGATGGAAACACGATTCAACTTGAAAAATATAATCCAAAAACTAAGGAAGTAGCAACCTGGTGGTTGCTATTCATCTGAACAATGCAGTTTAAGATGCTCTTTCATAGCAGAACGGTAAACCGACCTTTAAGCAACTTATGCCTGCAAAGACAAATTTCTAGAGAGCTAATAACAGTGCTAGCTAGATACAACAATCAATGAAGGAGAACAACTTTTTTGAGGATAGAATAGCAAGGGCTTACACCATTCAAGTATACAAAAAAGGAACACAGAGATATGCTACTATACTATAATGTCCAAGCAAATGTATCCATAATCATTTGGGGTTGGGTCCCCTCAATTTTCATTTGATATCAGTGTCAACAAAGATAATACATCTTAATTCAAGAAAATGGCAATGCAACTACAATCCAAAATTGCTATCATCTCCATAGTTGGATAGCAAGCGTTTACTGCTAATAGCAGCAAAGAAATTAACATAAAGGAAATTCTACATACCTAGTCAGTTGCAAGTTAAAAACTTGCCTCAACTATTTCCAAGTTTCCATTTCCGCTTCCATTTGCTACCATTTGAGAGGCTCCAATTATTGGAGGCATATCTAGTGATAGAGCTCCTTCCAAAACCCTAACTACTTCCCCAATCGAAGGCCTAAGAGACGGCCGATCTTGCACACACCATAAAGCCAACTTGACCACTCTCTGCACTCCTTCAATCTCAGCTTTCCCTTCTAATCTAGGATCAACAAATTCACCTAAGTTCCCATACTCACACCATCTAAAAGCCAAATCACGCAGTTTATTCTCATGACTCTCTCTATATCCAGCAACAATCTCAATCAAAATAATTCCGAACATGTGAACATCTCTTTCAGCAAGAGTTTCTGAAGAAGATGCTGCTGCATCCTCTTTCTTTATTAAGCTCTGTATTCCATAATCTGTTAATTTTGGTGTAAATTGATCATCTAGCAAAATATTCTCTAGCTTTAGGTCTCCATGAACTATGCATTTCTTGCACTGCAAGTGCAAATAGGCAAGAGCTCTTGCTATCCCAATGGCTATGTTGAGCCTCTCATTCCATCCACCCCTCCTATTTTGCTTCTTGCTAAGCAACCACTGATCAAGGGATCCATTGCTCACGTGTTCATATATCAGAAGCTTATGTTTCGGCTCATAACAAAAGCCCTTCAAAGCAACAAGATTCCGGTGGTGGGTGCTCCCCAGAGTTGAGACTACCAATTGGAACTCTCTTTCAGAAGCAACTACATTGTTAAGCAATTTGACAGCGACTGTTATTTTGTTGGGAAGAATGCCTTTATAAACAGTGGGACCTAACTTATTGCCAAAGTTTTTAGTCAATGTCTCTACTTCATCGAAAGATAGCCTTACTAGAGCGCTATAATGTGGATTCATGCCGATATCCTTTGCAAATGGGCTCCCCTTCAGCTTACTGGAACTCATTCGCCTTCTTTTATATAGAACAAACCAAAACACAGCCATCTCGAAAACTAAAAAGACAAAACCGGTGATCAGAAGAATTCCCACCACGGCAACCAGATAATTCTTATGCCTTTCGACTATTTCAGTAACTGTTTGTTGCTGCTGCTGCTCTTTTGGCATTAACCCTGATGCCCCATGGAAATTAGCTGCTCGAGCTGACACTGCCTCTGGAACCAAACACACTTTCAAGAACGATTTAGCCTGAACAGAAGCATAGCTATAACCACTGATAAAGCTTGTCTTTTTTATGGTGCAAATTCCCGAGCCGTCATTATTTGCAGTGGCGGCAAAACAAGAAGTATCATTCAGGCAGTATTGTCTGCAGGCATCCAAGCTAAGCATAACCACAACATCATGGGGAGGATAAAGACTATATAAAACAGTTTTCTTGAGCTCAGTCATACTTAATCCTCTGTCACAATTCCCCAAATCTACCATCCTCTGGCACTCACCAGAAACCGAATCCGAATTTAAGCACCCACAAGTTGGGCCACTCAGATTGTAACTGCAAACACTATACAATCCACACGAACCAAACACATCACATTGGTTTCCAACAGCTTGCCATCCAACTCTCCACAAAGAACTCACATTGTCCCAAGAATAAATCCTCAAGTTCCCATCAGCATCAATCCTCAACCTCCTAAATTGCACAAGAGGGTCTTTAAAATCCTTGCTCAACCGAGACCAAGGCACTCCACCACGATAATCAAACAGCCCAATGAGGCCATCGGGCTCGAGCCTCACCTCCTTAACTAGAACAGAAGAGCTCATTTGGCTCCTCCAATAAGTCACATTGTCCTCCCACACAAGATAAATCTCCCCAAAGCTCTTAACTTTCAAACTATAGTAACTAGCAATCGAGTTCGGTGAAGAAGCCTGAAGGGACTGAGGGTAACGAAAAGGCTGGCCAGGGAGTAAAGTATCAGTAGGGCTAGCAAAGCTCTCCCAAATAACTTTACCCCCAAAACCAACAAGAACCAAATTGCCGTTGTCCATCAAAGTTGCAGATCGAACACCGAGGTTGCCAGTATTACTACTCCAAACAGGCAATTCATTGTGAGAGCAATCAAATAGAATCAAACTACCATCTAAAGACAGCTCAAATGTGGAGTTCTCACAAACCCTAACTCCACCACCCCCAACAGTCCAAACTGGGACCTTTTCGCTACCAGCACCAAAATTATGCCATATACCCACTACAAAGCCATCATCTTTTTGGTAATCTAAGAGAAACCCAAGAGCAAAAACCCCACTTTGTGAAACCCATGTAGTATTCTGATGGCCAGAGATCTGGGAACCAAGAGGGAGGGAGACCATTGGGATCTCCTCAGAGAGCCCGCAAAGGGAAGAACCCAGAAGCAGCAGCATTACACTAATCAAAGCAAAATGCCCAAACGGGGGATTACCTTTGGTGGGCGATGTTGAAATTTGATGATCTTTGATGGGTTTGCTCATTTTTGAGAGATTTTTTTAGAGGGAGGGGCGATTGTGATGCTGATGGGAGTGAGATTTTGAGGTCATGGGAGTGGGTTTTGTTTGGTTTTTTGTTTTTGTGGATGAAGTAAAGAAATGGGGAGTGAGGTGAGCAGTGTTGGGGACTGTGTCTGGAGAGAAGAAGACAGAGAGAGAGAGAGAGAGAGAGAGAGAGCAGGTGCAATGTCTTGGGAGAAACAAAAGGTCAACAGAGTCCAAGGAGCAAAGATACTGGCCACTCCTGCTTTTTGTTTATTTTTTTAAATTTTTTTTAAAAAATTTGATAAATGCAGTATCTCTTTACTTTCTCTTTTGGGAAAAATGTGTGTGGCCTCAAAAACAGAAACTTTATGTGCTGCAGCCCCTCCTAGTTTTTCTCATGTGGTTCAGCCCACTGAAGTGTGACATTTTGTGCTGCAGCCTCTTTTTAACAATTATTACATGCCAGCTAAGTTAAAATCCCCAAAATATCCTTATCATCTCTCCTCAATCCCTCAGACTCAGTACTCATATCCTCTCTCTTTCATCTCCTCTCTCTCTCTCTCCTATCTCTATCTAAAACCAAGGGCTTTCTCAAGCTCGTCGCCCTAGCCCTCGCCCTCCTCGACGTAGCCGCCTCCGCACAGGCCCCCAAGGTTCTCATTGGGTTCGTTGTCGCCTCCCCTCCTCTCCTTCGCCCAACCTTGTCGCCGGCCGCTGCCGCTCTCCGCCTCGCCCTCGAGTTCACCACCGCCTCCTCCTTACCCGACCTTTGAGTTCAGCCTTCCCCCCACCCTTGAGATCAACCTTAACTTCAGCCTTCAAGGCTCCACTTTGAATTCGGCCACATTGGTCTCATCGATTCTATTCTCTTAAATAATTTGGAAGAAAAAAAACATCCACTGCAATTTATCTAGCTCATCAAGAAGCTCAGTCTATCCCTTTCCTGCTTCAACTGTAACTAAAGTCTTCTCATGCCAACCATGTTGAAGAAGCCAAGAAATATGATCTTCAGCATCTCTAGAGAAAACAAATACGTTAAGATTTTTATCAAACCAAATATGTAGTTCTACAAGTTCCCCAGTCTGTGGACTATAACACTGTTAGAACTAACACGTCAAAGGGGGACCTAAATCTTCATCTTTTAATTGAATCCGCGCTCATTTTCATAAAATTCTGGTTTTTGTACGCATTGACTATTAATGTATAAAAAGTATGAGAATTTCTGAAGCGATCAAGGATGTGGAAGTGAACGAGAAGGCGTTAAATCTAGAACTAACACGCGGTGTGTTAGAACTAACACGCCGTGGGCTAGAACTAACACGCCGTGTGTTAGAACTATAGCAAAAACAACATTGTAAACATACCTAAAAAAATATCAGAACTAACATCAGAGTTCACAGAACTAACATCAGAGGTTACAGAACTAACATCATAGCTCAGAGAATAAAAATTATTTTACACACAAATATAGTTCGAATCTGAAAAAACTCAAAAGACCAAAGTTGTAGGTCCCTTCAACAGCTTTTCAACGCATCTCAAATGACCTCATTCTGAGATCGGATGAGAAAGTTATAACCAAAATACATATCATATGAATAATATGAATCCGTAATTTGAATATATCATGATAAATGATAATAAATATGTGAGGTAAATTTGAATATATCATGATAAATGATAATAACTATGTGATATGGTTATAAATAACATTTATCGATGTTTGAGTATGCTAGGAATTAGTTTGGGATCAATTTAATATATATATATATATATATGCCTGAATCTGGAAAAACTCAAAAGACCAAAGTTGTAGGTCTCTTCAACAGCTTTCCAACGCATCTCAAATCACCTCATTCCGAGATCGGACGAAGAAATTACAGCGAAAACAACATCATAAGAGCTCACAGAACTAACATCATAGCTCACAGAACTAACATGGGAGCTCATAGAACTAAAACTCATTTTACACACAGATGTAGTTCGAATCTGGAAAAACTCAAAAGACCAAAGTTGTAGGTCTGTTCAACAGATTTTCAACGCATCTCAAATCACCTCATTCCGAGATCGGATGAGAAAGTTATAACCAAAATACAGATCATATGAATAATTTGAATTCGTAATTTGAATATATCATGATAAATGATCATAAATATGTAAGGTAAATTTAAATATATCATGATAAATGATAATAAATATGTGAGATAAATTTAAATATATCATGATAAATGATAATAACTATGTGATATGGTTATAAATAACATTTATCGATGTTTGAGTATGCTAGGAATTGGTTTGAGATTAATTTAATATATATGTGCCTGAATCTGGAAAAACTCAAAAGACAAAAGTTGTAGGTCTCTTCAACAGCTTTTCAACGCATCTCAAATCACCTCATTCCGAGATCGGACGAAAAAATTACAGTGAAAATAACATCATAGGAGCTCACAGAACTAACTGTTTTCTCACAGAACTAACATCATAACTCACAGAACTAATATGGAAGCTCACAGAACTAAAAATGATTTTACACACAGATGTAGTTCGAATCTGAAAAAAACTCAAAAGACCAAAGTTGTAGGCCTCTTCAACAGCTTTTTAACGCATCTCAAATCACCTCATTCCAAGATCGGATGAGAAAGTTATAACCAAAATACAGATCATATGAATAATTTGAATCTGTAATTTGAATATATCATGATAAATGATCATAAATATGTGAGGTAAATTTGAATATATCATGATAAATGATAATAACTATGTGATATGGTTATAAATAACATTTATAAATAACATTTATAACATTTATCGATATATATATATATATATATATATATGCCTGAATCTGGAAAAACTCAAAAGACCAAAGTTGTAGGTCTCTTCAACAGCTTTCCAACGCATCTCAAATCACCTCATTCCGAGATCGAACGGAGAAATTACAACGAAAACAACATCATAGGAGCTCATAGAACTAACATGGGAGCTCACAGAACTAACATTATAGCTCACAGAACTAACATGGGAGCTCAAAGAACTAAAAATCATTTTACACATAGATGTAGTTCGAATCTAAAAAAACTCAAAAGACCAAAGTTGTAGTTCTGTTCAACAGCTTTTCAACGCATCTCAAATCACCTCATTCCGAGATCGGATGAGAAAGTTTTAACCAAAATACAGATCATATGAATAATTTGAATTCGTAATTTGAATATATCATGATAAATGATCATAAATATTGTTTGCGGTGAAAATTGATTGTTTCATTGCGGGATTCATTACAAACTTCAGACGTTTACAACGAATACAAAAATCAGTCTTTTTATAAGACTTTTACACAATGAAAACAAAAAAAATTACAATTCTCTTCAAACAAACGCATCAGTCTTTTTATAAGACTTTTACACAATGAAAACAAAAAAAATTACAATTCTCTTCAAACAAACGCAATGAGTGTTTATCACCCGCTGCTTGCGTGGGATCTTGGCCTGTGACGGGGACGCGTTAGTCCGTGGACCACCGAACAATCAATATTTGGACAGAGTTTCGTCTATCCACGAAGGGATCGAGAAACCGTAGCTCTTATCTCGGCGAAGCGAGATAATCACTCTTCTTAAGATTACCACAACGCGATAATCCTAAGGAACGAACCGGGCTGCAGATCTAACTCCTCATCCTCTCTAAAATCTGTGCACTTTAAGACTTCAATCCGGCAGGGCTTCGCCGAGGCAAGCCTATAAATACAAACCTCAGACCCTCATTTTTCCGGATCTGGAATTCTCGTGCCTCGACGAAGCCCTGCCGGATTGAAGACTTAAAGTGCACAGATTTTAGAGAGGATGAGGAGTTAGATCTGCAGCCCGGTTCGTTCCTTAGGATTATCCCGTTGTGGTAATCTTAAGAAGAGTGATTATCTCGCTTCGCCGAGATAAGAGCTACGGTTTCTCGATCCCTTCGCGGATAGACGAAACTCTGTCCAAATATTGATCGTTCGGTGGTCCACGGACTAACGCGTCCCCGTCACAGGCCAAGATCCCACTCAAGCAGCGGGCGATAAACACTCGTTGCGTTTGTTTGAAGAGAATTGTAATTTTTTTTGTTTTCATTGTGTAAAAGTCTTATAAAAAGACTGATTTTTGTATTCGTTGTAAACGTCTGAAGTTTGTAATGAATCCCGCAATGAAACAATCAATTTTCACCGCAAACAAATATGTGAGGTAAATTTGAATATATCATGATAAATGATAATAAATATGTGTGGTAAATTTAAATATATCATGATAAATGATAATAACTATGTGATATGGTTATAAATAACATTTATCGATGTTTGAATATGCTAGGAATTGGTTTGAGATTAATTTAATATATATGTGCCTGAATCTGGAAAAATTCAAAAGACAAAAGTTGTAGGTCTCTTCAACAGCTTTCCAACGCATCTCAAATCACCTCATTCCGAGATCGGACGAAAAAATTACAGTGAAAATAACATCATAGGAGCTCACAGAACTAACATGTTTTCTCACAGAACTAACATCATAGCTCACAGAACTAACATGAGAGTTCACATAACTAAAAATCATTTTCCACACAGATGTAGTTTGAATCTGGAAAAACTCAAAAGACCAAAGTTGTAGGTCTCTTTAACAGCTTTCTAACGCATCTCAAATCACCTTATTCCGAGATCGGACGAAGAAATTACAACGAAAACAATATCATGAGAGCTCAAAGAGCTAACATGGGAGCTCACAGAACTAACATCATAGCTCACAGAACTAACATGGGAGCTCATAGAACTAAAAATCATTTTACACACAGATGTATTTCGAATCTGAAAAAACTCAAAAGACTAAAATTGTAGGACTCTTCAACAGCTTTCCAAGGCATCTCAAATCACCTCATTCCGAGGTCGGATGGGAAAGTTATAACCAAAATACAGATCATATGAATAATTACAGAGGTTCTAATAGTTATCAAAAACTACAACTGTTTGATTCAATTACAGAGGTTCTTTTACTCCTTAGACAAGGGTATGAGCATAAAAACAAACAAACGCAATAATCTCCTTTATCATCAATAGTTGACTTTCCCTTCCTCCATAAAAAAACAGTTAACCATTCAAAACGAAGCTGAAGAAGCCTTCAACTCCTCTAACATCTTCTTCAGTGCTGGTTGATTCAATGCCACATTTCCAAATTCAATGCTCGAGTATTTCTTGTACACTGCTCTCAATTTACTCTCAGGTACAACTGAATGAGACTTAAGCAAAATTTAAGAGCAATCCCTGCACAATGCAGCAAAATTGTATTAAGAGAACATGGAAAATGGAGATTTATTGAACCCCCTGAGGAGGAAATCTTCTAATATGGAACAAGCAGAGAGTTTTATAGATACAATGAGCTTGTCCAATCCTGTAGGAGCTCCGCAACATCTCCCAAAAAATGGGTAAGTAATTCTTACTCTCTGAAGGCCTATTTTGTTGTTGGTAACTCTTACAGTTGTTTATTTTATCATTCTCTGGTCTCTTGTTTTTCCTGCAGAACGTTGCAGCCAAATCAATTGGACTCTGGTTTCAGTCAAAAGAGATAGGACTTTGGTCAGTAATGCTTCTTCTCTTGTGACTTTGGCCAGTAATGCGGCAGCGACGAACTCCGATGTAGTCGAGGGCGAGGCGGGGAGCGGCGACGAGTTACGGCTACGAGATCGGACGGGGGAGAGGAGGGGAAGCGGCAACGAACTCGAGGGGAGCCTTGGGGGCCTGGGCGGAGGCGGCGACGACGAGGAGGGCAAGGACCAGGGCAGCGAGCTTGAGAAAACCCTTGGTTTTAGAGAGAGAAAGGGGGGGGGGGGGGGGGGGGGG